ACTCTTCTCTGTCAAATAGAGGCCGCTCTTAACTCAAGACCATTGCTTGCACTAACTGAAAACCCTGAAGATGAGTTCCTGACTCCAGGTCATTTTCTTGTCGGTGGGTCACTATTATCACGACCGCAAAGTGATGATGAGCATCTTTCATTACCTCGAAGATGGCAACTGATACAAACGATGATGAAACACTTCTGGAAGAAGTGGTCAGCAGATTATTTAAATCAACTTCAAGTGCGTACAAAATGGAGGACACCTACAAAAAACTTAGAATTAAATGATATCGTACTCATAAAAGAGGACAATATCCCTCCAGGAAAGTGGGCTCTTGGTCGCGTGCAGGAAATTCATCCCGGGAAGGACGGCTACGTCCGAGTGGTTTCCCTGAAAACACAAAATAAAATAATAAAGAGACCAATAAGCAAATTAATCACCTTACCTGTACACGAAGAACATCAGCCATCTACTCAGCATCAGCATAATCAGCATCAACACAATCATCAAGATTCAACTCAACACCCATCTAAAATACGGCCACGTCGCATCACCAAAACTTCAAAAGGTTTTTTCAACTTTGCTACGATATTGTTATGTTTGAGTGTATTTATTACGCCGACAGTACAACAAGATCCTAACATTCTTAATGTAACTCGTTTGAATACGGACACAGGCTTGTATTTTGATAAGATTTCCAATTTGCAGCATATACGAGATGAGTGGAAAATAGTAATCTACTATATAAAAATAAGTCGGGTTTTCCTTCCTGACGCTATAACTACAGAACGCACGAACCGATTTCCACGGTTTTGCATTCGTTGGAAAGGTCTCGGGCTTCGTGAGGTTTATAGCAAAGAAAGTTCAGGAAAAATTAAAAAAAAACTTCTTTTAATCACCAAACGAAATGTTACATAAAACGAAGCCATCTGGTGGCGAAACGGAGTTCGCCGGGTTTGCTAGTATATTATAACTTAACAAATTATTACAAAAGCATATTTGATATTAAAGCATACATCGATCATTTAAGCAGTTACTGTGCAGAAGATAAAACGCAATATCAAGTTATCATTCGTCAATTAGAGCATGAATTAAATGAAATACAGCATTATAATAAAATTCTGCAAAACCAGCACATAACTAGGCAGAAAAGGGGCCTAATAAACGGCGTTGGCTACGTGGCTAACTCTTTATTTGGAATTCTAGATCAAAGTTTTGCAGAAAAATATTCGCAAGATATTAAGAAAATCAGTTCAAATGAAAATCATCTGCAACAATTAATAAGAAATCAGACTATCGTACTCGAGGCAGAGTCTAACATCTTACAACGTAATGAAAAGATTATGAATTCTCAGTTTCAATTTATAAATCAGCACGTACAAAACTTGACAGTTGAAGTAGGAAAGGTTAGTTATGAAGCTCGAACTGGCCTTTACATTACCTCCTCAGCGCTAACAGCAAGTATGGTATTAAATAATATAAAACGGATTCAAGAAACATTAGTAAATACCATAACTGATATCAGACACGGGCGCATAGATACTCACCTGTTATCACCTGAACAATTACAATTACAACTCGGTATCATATCGAGTCGGCTACAGGATGATCTTACAGTGCCAGTAGAAAAAACACAGCTTAACGAGTTGTACAATACTTTGAAGATTGCTCCTGCTATGCATCAAGATTACTTACTCATTGAAATTAAGGTGCCCATTGTTAGTAAGGAAACATTTGAATTAGATAAAATTGTAACCGTTCCAGTACAAAAGGGCTCGCGAACGATACTCACTATACCTCAGCATCAATACATCGCCTTCAATTTGAGAGGAGACACAGCCTCATTTTTATCTCAAGATGACATAAATTCTTGTTTAGAATTAGAAAATCACAAATTGCTATGCTCATTTAATACCCCTATTTATCATTTGAAATTAGAGGAGTCAATATGCCAAACAAAAATAAACCATGTAATTACAAATAAAACAATTTGTACCTATTTACAGACACCGTGTGAAAACACATGGGTCAAGTTACACTTGTATAATAACTGGATTTATTCATGTTGCGAAGAATGCAACGTGCGCATATTTTGTCCAGGAGGCATAATAATGAAGTCATTGACAGGCAGTGGCCTTATTACTCTAGGTCAAGGTTGCGTGTTAAAGACTAATGACTTATCAATTTACGCTCATAATAACTATATAAATCATATGACTGTAAATAGCAATATTGAAGTCCCAGGGATATCTATTTTGAACCAAATACTAAACACATCAATATCAGATAACTATTACGAAGAAGAAAATCATACCGACATTTGGGAGACATTGAATAAGCAAATTCAGTCTGTTAAAGAACAATCTTACTCTGATCTAAGTATCCACGACATACATCATTACACCGCGTTGTATGTGACTACAGCGATAGTCATAGCAATTGGAGTGTTCGTCGTATGGTTTCGACTGCAGAAGGGATGTAGGAGAGCATCTCCAAGTCAGTGTCCGCCGGAGGAGCCGCCGCAGCATCTGTAGCTGAGTAGCGTACCTGGTAGTGCTCAAGCTAATAGTGATAGTGTTAGTGAAATTGTGAATACGACATTTATGTCGAAAGAGTGCGGTCGGTTGTGTAAATCGATGAGTAACATTAGTGCTGATAAGTGTACGTCTCCGGTAGTGTCTCGGTCAGTTTCTTTTCAAGTGCCTAATACAGATTCACTTTCGCGAAGTAACGTTAAAAATAAGACAATCAATCATTATTAAGTAATAAAATTATTAATCTAAACTAGTTGTGCTAAATTAAAGCTTTTTATTATTGTTTTTTACTCTGTTAATTTACATATTATTACACAGTGTTAAAATACATTTTTATAAAAACATGGAATACTTAATTTATTAACATAGTCACAAATTAACGTATTCATTAAGAAACTTTGTTACTAATATAAAATAATTCACCATCTAACATAATTATAAGGATGATTGTTACTAACTAATCACTTTAATACATTTATGACAGCAGTTTGATATAAGAAAGGGTCTGAAATTTCTTTTCTTAAGTGGCCAAGATGTACGACCTGTACATACCTACTTGATTGTACATTAAAATGATTTCAAATTGACCCAGATTACTTTTAAGCATACTCATGAAATTGTATTTTTTCTTGCACAATTAGTCACAGAAATAAATTAGTGTTTTTACAACATTCAAACGGTTCGGTTTTATTTAGCACTCCTTGGAGTAACCTTACCCTTAACGAGCATCAAGTGTGGGAAGCAACCCCCACAAATTTCATATTAGATTTAAATTTCTGTCATCTAAATATTCTTCTATGGAATAGTAACACTTCTTCAACAAGAACATTTTAAGTTTGTCTTGGAATTTATATGGACTGTAAATGGTTTTCAATTCTATAGGGAGAACATTAAATAGCTTGATAGCTTGGAATCTCACGCAGTGACTGACAACGTTAAGCTTAGGTCTAAAGGCACTTTTCAAATCTTTTCGACGAGTTAGTTCCCTCTTTTTTCTGTCTATATCAGATTCGTATTTGTGCAGGTTTTTTACTAAATGGGATAAAACAACTAAAATATATAAGCAAGGGACTGTCATAATACCTAATGCTTCAAAATGTGGTTTGCACGAATCTGTCTGTGGGATACGCATCAAAGTCCGGATCGCACGCTTTTGTAAGACGAATGCTGCCAAAATATTATATTTGTAACTATTGCCCCAGAACATAATACTGTAACGAAGTTTTGATTCAACCATGGCAAAATAAACTAATTTAAGCTGCTTCAAGGTGATTTCATCCCTTAAACTTCTTATGGCATAGCACGCTGAGCTTATACTAGATTTGAGTGATTCAATTTCATTTGTCCAATTTAAATCTACGTCAATGTGAATTCCCAAGAATTTTATCGATTTTACGGAGTCTATATCTGTACCATTCACATTAATTCTTAAAATATCTGTATTTCTGGCAGTAGATCTGAATAACGTGGCTGTTGTTTTTTTTGCATTCAATAAAAGACCATTACCTGCAAACCAGTTTTCAAAATGAAATAGCGTACTATTTACTTTAATGCTCAGCTCGTCAATATCTTTGGCATTGCATTTGTGTCAATTAAATTAACCATTTATGCCGATAAATGGTTAATTTAACATCCGGTTGTTTTAGAGCCATATAATTAACTAGGTCATTCAAAAAACCGATAAAGAAAATAGGTCCTAAATTAGAGCCCTGTGGGACACCTCTTTTTAATATTTTCAATTCTGATTTACATATTGTCTCGACATCACTTATATTTTTTTTAATTTCAATGAACTGCTTGCGATTTGACAAATAAGATTTAAAAAGTTTTAAATTTGTACCTCGAATTCCATAATGTTCCAATTTCTGAAGCAATATGTCATGATTTATTGTATTAAAAACTGAGCTTAAATCCAAAAACAGACCGCACACTTTCAGCTTTTCATTTAACTTACATACAATATCATCAACTTAGTTATTTATAGCATCAGTTGTTCCCAATTGCTTCTGATATGCAAATTGTCTATCATTTAGAATACCATTTTGACGTAAATGTGATAGTAGTCTAATTTTAATAAATTTCTCAAAGATTTTTGATAAAATTGGTAATAAAGAAATAGGCCTGTAGTTTTTCGGGTCTACTTCATTTCTTTTTTTATAAAGTTCGTAAAGTAAACAAGAGTTCGTTTTATAAGATAAAAGGTCGTATGTGTTAAATGTTATTCGTAACCTTATTCCTTTGCAAGATAGTTGTTATTAGGTTCAACTTTAAACTATTTTTAAAACAATTAATTATCTTTGTTCACCTGGAATCGAATGTAGCTGCATAAGTTTAAACATACGCGGTCAGTTTTTAGCTTTGATTTTGTATGCAACTCGTTATCTATAGAATTGTCGATAGAAGTTTACAGTGCTTACCTTAGAGCTAGGTTAATCGGTGTGTATGTAAGAAAAATGTATTATTATTAGCTACCGTATCGGGGTGTGAAGTAGTGCGGCGGATCAACCAGCAATGCCAGCGCGGCGCGAGCGGCGTGAGGCGGCACCTGCGCGGGGTGCGACGGCGGCAGGCGCCGGGCGGCACGTAGGAGGGGCAACGCGGCCTCCGCGCTGTCTGACGGGCCGCGCAGCGCGCCGCACCCGGGCAGTAGCGGCACCTGCGGCACCGACCACTACATATAGGGGGGGGAGGGCGGCACGTAGGAGGGGCAACGCGGCCTCCGCGCTGTCTGACGGGCCGCGCAGCGCGCCGCACCCGGGCAGTAGCGGCACCTGCGGCACCGACCACTACATATAGGGGGGGGAGGGCGGCACGTAGGAGGGGCAACGCGGCCTCCGCGCTGTCTGACGGGCCGCACCCGGGCAGTAGCGGCACCTGCGGCACCGACCACTACATATAGGGGGGGGAGGGCGGCACGTAGGAGGGGCAACGCGGCCTCCGCGCTGTCTGACGGGCCGCGCAGCGCGCCGCACCCGGGCAGTAGCGGCACCTGCGGCACCGACCACTACATATAGGGGGGGGAGGGCGGCACGTAGGAGGGGCAACGCGGCCTCCGCGCTGTCTGACGGGCCGCGCAGCGCGCCGCACCCGGGCAGTAGCGGCACCTGCGGCACCGACCACTACATATAGGGGGGGGAGGGCGGCACGTAGGAGGGGCAACGCGGCCTCCGCGCTGTCTGACGGGCCGCACCCGGGCAGTAGCGGCACCTGCGGCACCGACCACTACATATAGGGGGGGGAGGGCGGCACGTAGGAGGGGCAACGCGGCCTCCGCGCTGTCTGACGGGCCGCGCAGCGCGCCGCACCCGGGCAGTAGCGGCACCTGCGGCACCGACCACTACATATAGGGGGGGGAGGGCGGCACGTAGGAGGGGCAACGCGGCCTCCGCGCTGTCTGACGGGCCGCGCAGCGCGCCGCACCCGGGCAGTAGCGGCACCTGCGGCACCGACCACTACATATAGGGGGGGGAGGGCGGCACGTAGGAGGGGCAACGCGGCCTCCGCGCTGTCTGACGGGCCGCGCAGCGCGCCGCACCCGGGCAGTAGCGGCACCTGCGGCACCGACCACTACATATAGGGGGGGGAGGGCGGCACGTAGGAGGGGCAACGCGGCCTCCGCGCTGTCTGACGGGCCGCGCAGCGCGCCGCACCCGGGCAGTAGCGGCACCTGCGGCACCGACCACTACATATAGGGGGGGGAGGGCGGCACGTAGGAGGGGCAACGCGGCCTCCGCGCTGTCTGACGGGCCGCGCAGCGCGCCGCACCCGGGCAGTAGCGGCACCTGCGGCACCGACCACTACATATAGGGGGGGGGGGGCGGCACGTAGGAGGGGCAACGCGGCCTCCGCGCTGTCTGACGGGCCGCACCCGGGCAGTAGCGGCACCTGCGGCACCGACCACTACATATAGGGGGGGGAGGGCGGCACGTAGGAGGGGCAACGCGGCCTCCGCGCTGTCTGACGGGCCGCGCAGCGCGCCGCACCCGGGCAGTAGCGGCACCTGCGGCACCGACCACTACATATAGGGGGGGGGAGGGCGGCACGTAGGAGGGGCAACGCGGCCTCCGCGCTGTCTGACGGGCCGCGCAGCGCGCCGCACCCGGGCAGTAGCGGCACCTGCGGCACCGACCACTACATATAGGGGGGGGAGGGCGGCACGTAGGAGGGGCAACGCGGCCTCCGCGCTGTCTGACGGGCCGCGCAGCGCGCCGCACCCGGGCAGTAGCGGCACCTGCGGCACCGACCACTACATATAGGGGGGGGAGGGCGGCACGTAGGAGGGGCAACGCGGCCTCCGCGCTGTCTGACGGGCCGCGCAGCGCGCCGCACCCGGGCAGTAGCGGCACCTGCGGCACCGACCACTACATATAGGGGGGGGAGGGCGGCACGTAGGAGGGGCAACGCGGCCTCCGCGCTGTCTGACGGGCCGCGCAGCGCGCCGCACCCGGGCAGTAGCGGCACCTGCGGCACCGACCACTACATATAGGGGGGGGAGGGCGGCACGTAGGAGGGGCAACGCGGCCTCCGCGCTGTCTGACGGGCCGCGCAGCGCGCCGCACCCGGGCAGTAGCGGCACCTGCGGCACCGACCACTACATATAGGGGGGGGAGGGCGGCACGTAGGAGGGGCAACGCGGCCTCCGCGCTGTCTGACGGGCCGCGCAGCGCGCCGCACCCGGGCAGTAGCGGCACCTGCGGCACCGACCACTACATATAGGGGGGGGGAGGGCGGCACGTAGGAGGGGCAACGCGGCCTCCGCGCTGTCTGACGGGCCGCGCAGCGCGCCGCACCCGGGCAGTAGCGGCACCTGCGGCACCGACCACTACATATAGGGGGGGGGGGGCGGCACGTAGGAGGGGCAACGCGGCCTCCGCGCTGTCTGACGGGCCGCACCCGGGCAGTAGCGGCACCTGCGGCACCGACCACTACATATAGGGGGGGGAGGGCGGCACGTAGGAGGGGCAACGCGGCCTCCGCGCTGTCTGACGGGCCGCGCAGCGCGCCGCACCCGGGCAGTAGCGGCACCTGCGGCACCGACCACTACATATAGGGGGGGGGAGGGCGGCACGTAGGAGGGGCAACGCGGCCTCCGCGCTGTCTGACGGGCCGCGCAGCGCGCCGCACCCGGGCAGTAGCGGCACCTGCGGCACCGACCACTACATATAGGGGGGGGAGGGCGGCACGTAGGAGGGGCAACGCGGCCTCCGCGCTGTCTGACGGGCCGCACCCGGGCAGTAGCGGCACCTGCGGCACCGACCACTACATATAGGGGGGGGAGGGCGGCACGTAGGAGGGGCAACGCGGCCTCCGCGCTGTCTGACGGGCCGCGCAGCGCGCCGCACCCGGGCAGTAGCGGCACCTGCGGTACCGACCACTACATATAGGGGGGGGAGGGCGGCACGTAGGAGGGGCAACGCGGCCTCCGCGCTGTCTGACGGGCCGCGCAGCGCGCCGCACCCGGGCAGTAGCGGCACCTGCGGCACCGACCACTACATATAGGGGGGGGAGGGCGGCACGTAGGAGGGGCAACGCGGCCTCCGCGCTGTCTGACGGGCCGCACCCGGGCAGTAGCGGCACCTGCGGCACCGACCACTACATATAGGGGGGGGAGGGCGGCACGTAGGAGGGGCAACGCGGCCTCCGCGCTGTCTGACGGGCCGCGCAGCGCGCCGCACCCGGGCAGTAGCGGCACCTGCGGTACCGACCACTACATATAGGGGGGGGAGGGCGGCACGTAGGAGGGGCAACGCGGCCTCCGCGCTGTCTGACGGGCCGCGCAGCGCGCCGCACCCGGGCAGTAGCGGCACCTGCGGCACCGACCACTACATATAGGGGGGGGAGGGCGGCACGTAGGAGGGGCAACGCGGCCTCCGCGCTGTCTGACGGGCCGCGCAGCGCGCCGCACCCGGGCAGTAGCGGCACCTGCGGCACCGACCACTACATATAGGGGGGGGAGGGCGGCACGTAGGAGGGGCAACGCGGCCTCCGCGCTGTCTGACGGGCCGCGCAGCGCGCCGCACCCGGGCAGTAGCGGCACCTGCGGCACCGACCACTACATATAGGGGGGGGGGGGGCGGCACGTAGGAGGGGCAACGCGGCCTCCGCGCTGTCTGACGGGCCGCACCCGGGCAGTAGCGGCACCTGCGGCACCGACCACTACATATAGGGGGGGGAGGGCGGCACGTAGGAGGGGCAACGCGGCCTCCGCGCTGTCTGACGGGCCGCGCAGCGCGCCGCACCCGGGCAGTAGCGGCACCTGCGGCACCGACCACTACATATAGGGGGGGGAGGGCGGCACGTAGGAGGGGCAACGCGGCCTCCGCGCTGTCTAACGAGCCGACGACTACTTATAACGAATCAAATACAGTAACTGTGGAGAGACGCGGGGAAAGCTGCCGCCGCATAATGTAGGGAGCCGCATAATAAAAGTCCAAGCACAAATTTTTGACAGTTCTGTAACGTGCCGTCCTCGTCAAATTTTGTATGGAAAAAGCTTATTTGTTCTTACGTCCGATAGGGGCGTTGTTTAGTTTTCTGTCGAAATTCGTGCTTGGGTCTCCGCTGCGCCACCTTTCGCGGCGAGTTAGTGTGCAAAAACTGCACCGCCTTTATTACCTGAAGCTAGACGACTTCCCCACGTCTCTACATAGTTGTTGTAGTATTAAAGTGAACCTTTTCTTATATTGCCCAAATTATCAAATCTTTAGCATGTTGCATAGCATGTAATCATCTTCAGGTTGCATGTAGGAGAGCTACCCTAAATAAATATATTTCAAAACTTTTATTCTACCATTTTGTCACCAAGCAAAACCGGGGACGGAAAGACAGACGACGGACATGACGAAACTATAAGGGTTCCTTGTCAAGACTACGGAACCCTAAAAATGGTTCGACAACATTGCTTCAATAAACCTGCGAGACATCATTTACACAGCATTAGAATTAAACAAGTATATATCACTTATTATTGTGAACAGCAATAAAACGCTTAAATCTGAAACTTTCTAAAATGTATTATTATTACGAATGATGGAGAAAGGTGAGAGCATAGAACATTACCTTGGCCAGCAGCAGCAGGCGTGAGGCCAGCAGTAGGGCCGCGTGGGGCCCCGCGCTGGCCTGCAGCCCCGCGCGCATACCACATTACCTTGGCCAGCAGCAGCAGGCGTGAGGCCAGCAGTAGGGCCGCGTGGGGCCCCGCGCTGGCCTGCAGCCCCGCGCGCATACCACATTACCTTGGCCAGCAGCAGCAGGCGTGAGGCCAGCAGTAGGGCCGCGTGGGGCCCCGCGCTGGCCTGCAGCAGCGCCGCCACGTCGTGCGCCAGCGGCGCGCGCATAGGATCCTGCCCAAACCAAAAACTTCACACTTTACCAAATCTCTAATCTGATTGACTTAATTCTAGGAGACCAGGAGATCATCTCCGTGTAATTTTCAAATTATTTATAAAATGCGAGTTCCGAAGATTGATACTGTTTAAATTAATTCAAGCCGCAACGAATTTAAAACCATCGAGCGAACCTAAAGAGTGCATTTACTTTAATGTTCGCTTCTTAGTTCGCGCGACAAGAAATGATCATTATCTCTAAATGCTATGCATAAAAAAGTGTAAGGGATGGTGGCTGGGACACCTTTACTTGATTAACAATCAACAAGGCATAACGTGTCGCGCGCAGCGCCGACATTAGCAAATAATAAAACATATAGAATTATACGGGTTTGCCCGTACAGACGGTAAAATAACTGTTTCAAATAGTTACAGTCTGACTATTACTTGTGGCGCGTAGCCGTAATCGTTTTTTTTAGGTTTATATAACTTTAATTTATACACCTTTCTCTATAAACCCGTACAATTCTATATGTTTATATTATTTGATTATTCAAATAATATAAACATATAGATAAATAATATGCTTATGCATTTACATTTCCTACTTTATCTCAGTTATTGCAAATAATAACGTTGCATTTAGTAAGGATATTTTACATAATTAGTAATCCTCATTTTGCCAATTATTCACCAATAGTGCTTTCCTGTTGATGTCATAAAAATGCTTCAATATCTTGGTTTCACTGTATTTACTGAAAGAATTTATAAAATGTTAACAATTTAATCACGGTTAGTTTAAATTATAAATCATGGCAGTCAATTCAATTTTGATACACAATAATAAATTTGGTGCATATAAAATACATATAAGAAAAAGCGACATGTACTTTGAATATTATCTTACTGAAGCATTTGATAGAGTTTAATACGTAACATACAAAAAAAATATCGAACCTTAATAATATTAATCCTTATTAATTTAAATTTATCACAATACAGTATGAAAAAACATAAACAGGATTATGTTATTGTTATACAGTAATGAACATGCCGCAGGGAGCAATATTCGGTCCTTACTTCTATACATATTCAATTTTATTACTATAATAAAATACTCTTTATGAAAAAATATATTTTGCAGGAGATAGCTTTTAAAGATTTATAGAGACAACAATAAAGAACACTATGCTGAGAATAGTAAGTTACAGATTGTGCAAGCCGAGGTGTGAAAATGCCGGCAGACCTTTAATACATATATAAATAACCGGTATGACAATACAAAACAATATACATTTAAAATATTCATTGTATTGTATTATTTCAATCACTAAAGTAAATTTCCGTAGAAAGCATATATAAGGTCTTCATAAGATTTCTTTCAACAATTAGCAAGTGAATTTGTCGAGGAAGTATTCATAAAATAATGTTATTCCTCCATACCAGCAGCGGTTCCCCGGTCGGGGCCGGGCGCCAGTGGGCCGCGGCCCGCTCCCGCTCCAGCCGCGCCCAGCGCGACGACAGCGGCAACCCGCTACCCGCTATACTGTCCTCCTCCGCCTCCAGCTGGCGCTCATAGTCCTGGGGCGGGGCCGGGGGCGGCGGGAACGACGCGCTGGCCGGGAAGTTGACGCCCGCCACCATCTCCAGCAGCAGCACCAGCAGCTCCCACAGCCCCGCCGCGCGCAAGTACGACCCTGACCATGGAAACCGGCCGCTATATTATCCGACTATATCTGGAGCCGGCGCTCGTATTATATGTGAGGGAACGACGCGCTGGCCGGGAAGTTGACGCCCGCCACCATCTCCAGCAGCAGCACCAGCAGCTCCCACAGCCCCGCCGCGCGCAAGTACGACCCTGACCATGGAAACCGGCCGCTATATTATCCGACTATATCTGGAGCCGGCGCTCGTATTATATGTGAGGGAACGACGCGCTGGCCGGGAAGTTGACGCCCGCCACCATCTCCAGCAGCAGCACCAGCAGCTCCCACAGCCCCGCCGCGCGCAAGTACGACCCTGACCATGGAAACCGGCCGCTATATTATCCGACTATATCTGGAGCCGGCGCTCGTATTATATGTGAGGGAACGACGCGCTGGCCGGGAAGTTGACGCCCGCCACCATCTCCAGCAGCAGCACCAGCAGCTCCCACAGCCCCGCCGCGCGCAAGTACGACCCTGACCATGGAAACCGGCCGCTATATTATCCGACTATATCTGGAACCGGCGCTCGTATTAACGGCGCGATTTGTCATTTTATATGTTTGGTCACACAGAAGCTTTTGAAGGAAACTTGATACGTATATATATATATATATATATAAATATATACATATATAATTTATGACCTGGAATGAGATCTATATCACTTTTCATTCCGAAAAAATCTAGGGGTCCTGTGTGATTCTAAAAAAACTTAAGTCAACCCGGATGAAGTCACGGGCGGCCGCTATTAGTTAAAATTTAAAAGAAAGTATTCTTCATTCTTACCGAAAGGGATGTGCAAATTAATTATCATATTTAGTCAAGCTAATTACAAATTACTTCATTCATCAATTATTTCAAGCTGAAATGTAAGTGATATATTAGGGTGGGATAGGTTGATTACTCACCATACGCGTAGAGCAGGGTCGGGTAAGCATTGGGCGGCAAGTTCCGCTGCGCTAGCGCGGCGCGCGCCACCTCCGCTAGGGCCTGGGGCCCGCACCCGCCCGACCCCGACCCGCACCCCGCCCATTCTATCAGGCGCGCCCACAGCTCCACGCGACCCCGCCCTGGAGGCTCTGTAACCGAACACCACCGGCCTCACTCGATATAATGTGCACTGTATAATGCGGCGCGCGCCACCTCCGCTAGGGCCTGGGGCCCGCACCCGCCCGACCCCGACCCGCACCCCGCCCATTCTATCAGGCGCGCCCACAGCTCCACGCGACCCCGCCCTGGAGGCTCTGTAACCGAACACCACCGGCCTCACTCGATATAATGTGCACTGTATAATGCGGCGCGCGCCACCTCCGCTAGGGCCTGGGGCCCGCACCCGCCCGACCCCGACCCGCACCCCGCCCATTCTATCAGGCGCGCCCACAGCTCCACGCGACCCCGCCCTGGAGGCTCTGTAACCGAACACCACCGGCCTCACTCGATATAATGTGCACTGTATAATGCGGCGCGCGCCACCTCCGCTAGGGCCTGGGGCCCGCACCCGCCCGACCCCGACCCGCACCCCGCCCATTCTATCAGGCGCGCCCACAGCTCCACGCGACCCCGCCCTGGAGGCTCTGTAACCGAACACCACCGGCCTCACTCGATATAATGTGCACTGTATAATGCGGCGCGCGCCACCTCCGCTAGGGCCTGGGGCCCGCACCCGCCCGACCCCGACCCGCACCCCGCCCATTCTATCAGGCGCGCCCACAGCTCCACGCGACCCCGCCCTGGAGGCTCTGTAACCGAACACCACCGGCCTCACTCGATATAATGTGCACTGTATAATGCGGCGCGCGCCACCTCCGCTAGGGCCTGGGGCCCGCACCCGCCCGACCCCGACCCGCACCCCGCCCATTCTATCAGGCGCGCCCACAGCTCCACGCGACCCCGCCCTGGAGGCTCTGTAACCGAACACCACCGGCCTCACTCGATATAATGTGCACTGTATAATGCGGCGCGCGCCACCTCCGCTAGGGCCTGGGGCCCGCACCCGCCCGACCCCGACCCGCACCCCGCCCATTCTATCAGGCGCGCCCACAGCTCCACGCGACCCCGCCCTGGAGGCTCTGTAACCGAACACCACCGGCCTCACTCGATATAATGTGCACTGTATAATGCGGCGCGCGCCACCTCCGCTAGGGCCTGGGGCCCGCACCCGCCCGACCCCGACCCGCACCCCGCCCATTCTATCAGGCGCGCCCACAGCTCCACGCGACCCCGCCCTGGAGGCTCTGTAACCGAACACCACCGGCCTCACTCGATATAATGTGCACTGTATAATGCGGCGCGCGCCACCTCCGCTAGGGCCTGGGGCCCGCACCCGCCCGACCCCGACCCGCACCCCGCCCATTCTATCAGGCGCGCCCACAGCTCCACGCGACCCCGCCCTGGAGGCTCTGTAACCGAACACCACCGGCCTCACTCGATATAATGTGCACTGTATAATGCGGCGCGCGCCACCTCCGCTAGGGCCTGGGGCCCGCACCCGCCCGACCCCGACCCGCACCCCGCCCATTCTATCAGGCGCGCCCACAGCTCCACGCGACCCCGCCCTGGAGGCTCTGTAACCGAACACCACCGGCCTCACTCGATATAATGTGCACTGTATAATGCGGCGCGCGCCACCTCCGCTAGGGCCTGGGGCCCGCACCCGCCCGACCCCGACCCGCACCCCGCCCATTCTATCAGGCGCGCCCACAGCTCCACGCGACCCCGCCCTGGAGGCTCTGTAACCGAACACCACCGGCCTCACTCGATATAATGTGCACTGTATAATGCGGCGCGCGCCACCTCCGCTAGGGCCTGGGGCCCGCACCCGCCCGACCCCGACCCGCACCCCGCCCATTCTATCAGGCGCGCCCACAGCTCCACGCGACCCCGCCCTGGAGGCTCTGTAACCGAACACCACCGGCCTCACTCGATATAATGTGCACTGTATAATGCGGCGCGCGCCACCTCCGCTAGGGCCTGGGGCCCGCACCCGCCCGACCCCGACCCGCACCCCGCCCATTCTATCAGGCGCGCCCACAGCTCCACGCGACCCCGCCCTGGAGGCTCTGTAACCGAACACCACCGGCCTCACTCGATATAATGTGCACTGTATAATGCGGCGCGCGCCACCTCCGCTAGGGCCTGGGGCCCGCACCCGCCCGACCCCGACCCGCACCCCGCCCATTCTATCAGGCGCGCCCACAGCTCCACGCGACCCCGCCCTGGAGGCTCTGTAACCGAACACCACCGGCCTCACTCGATATAATGTGCACTGTATAATGCGGCGCGCGCCACCTCCGCTAGGGCCTGGGGCCCGCACCCGCCCGACCCCGACCCGCACCCCGCCCATTCTATCAGGCGCGCCCACAGCTCCACGCGACCCCGCCCTGGAGGCTCTGTAACCGAACACCACCGGCCTCACTCGATATAATGTGCACTGTAAAATGCGATTTACAGCACGACAGAATTCCGATACCGATTCTAGGTATTTTAGAAGCAAAAGTATATCTTGCTCGTTTTTGATTGGTCGATTCGACTTTAAGTCGTCGGCAAAAAGACAGCCGCTGCTAAAACGGATCTTGTCAGGGATATCGTTAATGAATACGAGAAACAGATTTGGTCAAAAGATCGCACCCTGGGGGACTCTCGACGAGGTGAGGAATGGTTTCGATTTGTAACCGTTCATAGCTACCCTTAATAACCGATGCTCTAAGTAAGAACGGAGCCATAACAGTAGGGGTCCATGAATTCCTTAACGCTTCAGTTTCATGAACAGTATATTGTGGTCAACCTTGTCAAACGCACTGCGCGTTATCAATCATGTAATTTTTTAATTTAAATGAATTTTTAGGCTGAAATTAAATGAATTGCTTCGTTTTATTTTTACATTGCTTTGCTTCCTGATTTATCTATTGTATTTTTTGGTTTTGATTGACTTTTATTTATTTTTATTTTTTGTTACTTGAAAGCAAAGGATGCTAAGTCCATGCATCCTTTCAAGTAATAGGAAAAAAAAATTGTGTGTGTCAGCTCCAACGCACGACCGGAGTTTACACTCTAAAAACGATTGTCTTTGAACAGACACAAAACAAAATGAAGTCCGAAGAAGTCGGTTACAAGTAGAGATACACCAAAAGCTAATAAAAGCGTATTAAAAAAAATTACAACAAGGCGTGATAATTTTCAGAATTTTTATAATAAATAAATTAGATAATATGAAAAAAGTATTTTTTTATTTAAATTCACATTCATAGCTTTTTAAAATTGCAGCATGTAAATTTTTAAAATAACTTTTTACTATAATTTATCAATTTGAGAGCTGTTGATGGGTAAATTTGAAAGGGTTTTGCTTATAAATAAGTGGAAATTTTCAAAAAAATCGCTTCGTACGTCCGTAAATAATAGAATTATCTACCGACGTCCGAAGCGCTGTTTTTTTTTTTTTTTGAAAATTTTTATTTATTTATAAGAAAAACGGTTTTGAAGTTCTCATTCATTGTGAAAAAACGCGATAGAAACACTTTCATTTGCTCAAAAGAGAACAAGAGAGAAAAAAGACTAAACCGTTCTTAAGAAATATTGTTTTACGTCAAATAATAATAATAATAATAAATTCTTTATTTATTTCTTCACATAAGTAGAAAAATTTACAATAAAGTGCTTAATTACAACACCTCACCACTTAATGTGAAGACTGGTGCTTGCAATAGGATAAACCTGTTCTACAAGACACCAGGCCTCCACTCCCAAAACTACATGAACAGAGTAAGCCACCCCTGTACCATTTATGTGATTAATGTGTTAATTAATATGAGAAGTGCTTAAGAAACAACTTAAACACAATAATAAAAAAAATAAAAATAAAAATGTAATTGTATGTGTGTGTGTGTGTGTGTGTGAGTGTGTGTGAGCGTATGCGCGCATGTGTGTGTATGTATTTATATATAACGGTTCCCATAAATGCTTTATTTATTGCCATTGTATTACTAATTTGCAATTTTACCTGATCCATTCCAATCTCCTGAACTTGAATTAATTTCATCATCGTCATTAACTTAGAGGCATCATAAGGATATTTAAACCTATTTCATTTAACTCCAATAAATAATTACAGATCTGTTGCTTTATCTGTCTGCTTGTATACTGCCTTAGATTAAGTTTAGCATGTAACACGTTGTAGACTGAAGGTGCCACAAAGTCATATGATCTCGAGGCAAACTTGGTTTTAAAAGGAGGAATATTACACTTTGCCGCTCTTGTCTTACAGACATTAGTTATTGTACTTACATTATTATGCAATCTGCGTATAACCTGATAAATAAACAATTTTCGAACACTCAAGACTTTAGTTTTTTCATACAATGAGGCTGTTGGGTGTCGAATCGGTAGTGACATTAAAACCTTCAATACAGCTCTTTGAGCTCTTTCCAATTTAATTAAATGTACTTGTGCAGCGCCTCCCCAAGCACAAATACAGTAGCAGATTAAAGATTCTCCCAAAGATTTATAAACTCTAATCAACAAAGGCAGGTTAGTTACCGTGCGAAGGTTCTTAAAAACATACATTAATTTTCTGATACGCCCAGAGATTAGTGAAATATGAGCGTCCCATTTTAAGTGTTCATCTATCATGACTCCAAGATACTTGAATGATTTAACGCGATCTAACTTTGCACAGTTACAGTCCGATGGAATATCTGATAGAAGATTACAGGGTTATTATCACATTCACACCTATAATAGCTAATGAGAAAGACTTCTTAGGACTGGAGGCCTTATTTATGGAAAAGCAGATGTATATAGTTTTATTCACATTAAGGGATAACAAACTATTCTCAAGCCAGGCTGTAACCTTAGATAACCCTTTTTCTGCAGTAATTTTAACTTCATTCCAAGATGAACCATAAAATACGAGAGCAGTATCATCAGCAAACATAAATAACTCGATGGATTTTACAAAGGTCGTTAATGTAAGCTAAAAATAACGTTGGACCAAGAGTACTGCCCTGTGGTACACCATAATTACAGGAAGCAGATTCACTAAAATGGCCGCCCAATCGAACAGTCTGGCTTCTATTTTGAAGATAGTCTTTGAACCAATTCAGTGGCACG